ACACACACACACACACACACACACACACACACACACACACGGTACACACACACAGTACACACATATCACACATGTACATACACACACATACATGCACACATAAACACACATAAAATACACACAGATAGATTTAAATATCATGCCAAGTTGACAGTGCTTACCTTCTCCTTACCCGGTGCCCCGCTATTTCCAAGCATTTGAAACATTCCTACAGCCTATCAGTGCACTCTTCCTTAATTAGATCATCCTTAAAGTGTTTGGTTCTCACTCAGGTCACGTGGGTCAAAGTTTCCTAAACAGAGATGGTCTCCCCTGTCATTTGCCTCTCAGTCCGTTGAGCTGAGCTGAGCTACTCCATTGCTATCTAAAGGCTGCAGACAGCTTTAGTTCAAGATAGAGAGGTTCAAGTAACTTTGTGTCTTAAACCAACCCCCATCCAGATCAAATGAGTTGAAATCTATGTACTTTTCATCAAAAGGAGAAAAGATACAGTGGATTCAAGAGTTGAAGTGTATGTAGGGGTGGGTGTGGGTTTGCACGCCTTTAATCTGAGCACCAGGGAAGCAGAGAAACTCAGATTTCTGTGAGTTGGAAAACACCTTGGTCTTGGTCTACATAGTGAATTTCAGGCCAGCCAGAGCCACAGTGTGAGAGCTTGTCTTATTGATTAAAAAAAAAAGGAATTCTATGGATAATCAGGTGTTGGAAACAGCCTAGAAGGAATGTTTTCAAACATTAACAGTGAAATTGGGGAGGTTTAATTTTTAGACTCTATTTTCTATCATTTGTGTACTTTCATGATAATTTTTTTTGTGTGTTTGTTTTTCTTTATTTGCAAAGACACAGAAGCTTTGTGATTCCTTCCTGGGATGAGGATTGAAAGCGTGTATTTAAGGCAATTGGTACTGTTGGTTTAAAGCTCTCTCCTTCTTAGGGTTATCTCAGAATTGATAAGCATTCATGTTTCTGATTTGTTCTCAGACACAACTTACAGCTATAAATGGAGTTTAATGAGCCACCCTGTAGACTTTCAAGGTAAAATCAAACAAGAGAACAAGCCAACTCTTCACCTCTCTCAAGTAAGTAACAGGTTTCACACCTCAAAATCTGGTTAGCAACATCTTTGCTGTTGAACCCAGAATTCTCTCTTAGGATTAAAAACAAATGAAGAAGCCAGGCATGATGGCATGTGCCTGTGGTCTCAGCTACCTGGGAAACTGAGGCAAGATTGTTTGATCCCAGAAGTTCAGGCCAGCCTGGGCAACATAATTGAATCTCCTGTCTCAAAACAAAAACAAAAACAAAAACAAAAACAAAACCAGAAAGATCAGAGAGTTATAATTACATAACGCTCAAGCAGGCAGATGGATGGTTAAATGAGGAAACGTTCAGTAGCTTTTCTGTTTGAATTGCTTGGCATATTATCAGTTCAAGAGAAAGAGCCTTGGAAGCCCATACTGTGTGGTGGATTCAAAGCCTGGGTTCTAATTCCTGCAGTCTTTACGGTGTTAAAATACCTCAGGTGTCCACCAGGCATGTTCTGTGAGTTTCCAGCAATTCCATTCTAGTTCACAAGTTGCTCAGATTATCAAATCCTGCTCCACACACAAGAAGACACATACCACTTCCTTGGCTCCAAGGAGAACACATTGACTTAATAGCTAGGGGTCTGGTTTCTTATGAGGTGAATGTCTTCCTGCAAGGCTGTACCAATTCCAGAGCCTTACCAGCTCATATCACTGCTGTGAGACTAAGCTGTTTCTCAGAGCATGATACCCAGACCTCTGCCAGTAAATCTGTGAACTTGTATGTATGTTACAAATGTGTGATTCCAGACTCGGGTGCAGATCAGGGTAGGGTCCTTGCTGAGCACATGTGAGGCCCTGGGTTCACTTTTATCACCGAGCAACCCCCACCCCCCACCCCAAACACAGCACAGTTCCATACACACTCATCCAAGAGCTGCTGTCCTTGGCTCATATAAGGCCTGTGATACCTGTAACTAAGAAAAAGGACTATGTAGGTGACTTAGTATTTTAGAATGCAGTTCTTACATTTGTAGCAGTCCTAGACACATTGAAATGAGGCTTCCTCTCAAGCCTTTGGGATGCTGTTCTAGAAGGCAGATTCTAATGTCTTCAGATGCTCACCACCCATGTGTCTGTTTTTACATTGCAGTTGTCCGTGGGACTCTATGCCTTCAGAGTAGCTGTTTCTAGTGAGGATGCATTTGGAGAAGGCTATGTCAACATCACTGTTATGCCAGGTGAGTCGGGTGGGAGAATGGCC